ATTATAAGTTAACTACCAATAATACAATAACACATGTTTTGCCAATGAGGTATAGGTTTGAAAAGCCACTCCCATTCCAGCTCTTGGTTTCTTTCCCATATTCTGGCTCTGAGAGAAACAGCATCATATATCAATCAATGGTTATAAGTTTAGACATCATCTTATCGGACATCACTGAACCTCAAAAGATGTTTTCACCTAGCCAGCATCATAACTACATCCTCCATAGGTCTTTCCACTGTTTTGCAGGTTTGTTTTTTTTTACTGGATAGTGGGATATAGGGTGAGACCAATGACTCTCATATATATGAGCTTTTGTTTCACTTCTCTTAGTGTGAAATGATTTTCTTGGTCAGAAGCCATGTTGGGTGGTAGTATATCATGACAAGAAATAAAGAATTTGGTAAGTCCACAGATGGTGGTCCTGGCAAAAGCATTGTGGACAGAGAAAGCAAATCCGTATCTAAAATGAGTGTTTCCTTACTATGTATAAAATAGATAACTAATGAGAACCTACTCCATAGCACAGGAAACTACTCAGTGCTCTGTGGTGACCTAAATGGGAAGGAAATCTAAAAAAGAGTGGATATATATGTACGTATGACTGAATCACTTTGCTGTGCAGCAAGAAACTAACAACATTGTAAATCAACTCTACTCCAATAAAAATTAATGAAAAGAACAAAAATAAAATGAGTGTCTCTTTCACTGAGGACAAATTGTTGTTCTCTGCATGGTGGAAGGGGTCCAGCGTAATAAACCTACTACCAGGTGGCTGCCTGGCCCCCCAACTGCCATAACAGTTGCTCAGCATTGATCTGTGCTTTTAGCAAGTTGAGTGGATTAGCCTTGGTGACTCCTTATAAAATATATTCCTGCCCCCATGCACTTTGCACGTGAGCCCACTGAGTGAGCAAATAGATAGAAAAAGAGGCTAAGTGACATCCAGAATGTACTATTTTTTCCACCTGATTATTGAGAGCCACCTCTTCTGTGGAAGCCCTCTGCTGAGCAGAAACACATGTAACACATATATGTTCACGCTAGGCCTGTGCTGTCTAATATTGTGTCAACTAGCCACATGTGGCTAAGTTAACTAAAATTACATAAAATTAAAAATTCAGTTCCTCAGACACACCAGGCACGTTTCATGTGCTCAGTAGCCACGGGTGGCAAGTGACCACCATGTTGGAGAGTGCAGACATAGAACATTCCCACCGATTGGACAGCATTTCTAGTCCAGGCCCCTTTTCCAGGCCTCTTTTTCATCAGTCCTCCAATATTATTCTTTCCAAATCCCTGATCATCTGGCCAAACTATTAGAAACTTTCTATAAATTAGCATAGGTCCATGCCTCTGGACATCTCCCTTTCCAGGCAAAGTGAACACAAGCTTTGCCCACTGAGATTTCCCTTCCCCCTGGTCTTAAGGGCTACCCCTCAGTTGGGGCTGTATGCCACAGCAGCCCTACTTTTTTTGTTTTAAACATCTTTAGTGGAGTATAATTGCTTTACAATGTTGTGTTCGTTTCTGCTGTATAACAAAGTGAATCAGCTATACATATACATATATCCCCATATCCCCTCCCTTTTGCGTCTCCCTCCCATCCTCCCTATCCCACCCCTTTAGATGGTCACAAAGCACTCAGCTGATCTCCCTGTGCTATGCAGTTGCTTCCCAACTGCATATCTATTTACGTTTGGTAGTGTATATATGTCAGTGCTACTCTCACTTCGTCCCAGCTTAGTGGTTGCTGCATATTGTACAGAATCATATGTACATCAGGCCCGAATTTATTCTTCCTTGGCTAACTGGTCATAGGGAACTCCCCATTAGGCCATAGGTTTGGGTTAAGAGAGGTGGTGATGCAACAGAAGTAAGTACCACTTGCTAATGCAGCTTGGAGCCTTAAGGACCTGCTGGGGCTCAGCATTTTACATAGCAATTCTGTTTGAGGATGAAGTACTACTGCACATACCCAGCTCAATGCTCAGTGAATAATAGAACACCTCATTTCAGGAAGGACAGCTCAGGTTACTCGATACTTGATTTCTCATGGCCAACCATTCAGTCTCCACCAGGGCCAGTCACAAGCAAGGACCTTTCTCAAAAGGCAAAGAGATATTATAGGAGGAGAGATGACTTTCCTCCCAAATCATAACATTAAACTACAGTTTTCCAGAGGCTCTATATTGCTTCCTCAGCTGCCATGGAAACTTGGAGCAACTTTGGTCTGCTGGGTCATAAAGCCCACGTGGCAGAGCGGTTTGCACCGCCGCCTGCCACAGCACAGAGCTTTGTCTCGCTTTGGGTTCCACTAAAACCATACAGCCTTGAAGGTCGCTTGATAAATGGGTTGAAGGCAAAGGTGGTATAAGCTGATTCTAGACTCTGAAGAGGCATTCCAAGCACTTGGCCTCTTCTACCATCAATAGCCCTCATGCCTCAGGTCAGAAAGCCAACAAAGAGAATCTTCTATTCCGGATTGTCTAGTTTGACTATACATTCAAGAATTGGGGAGAGGGCTTCCCTGGCGGCGCAGTGGTTGAGAGTCCGCCTGCCGATGCAGGGGACACGGGTTCGTGCCCCGGTCTGGGAGGATCCCACATGCCGCGGAGCGGCTGGGCCCGTGAGCCATGGCCGCTGAGCCTGCGCGTCCGGAGCCTGTGCTCCGCAACGGGAGAGGCCACAGTGGTGAGAGGCCTGCGTACCGCAAAAAAAGAAAAAAAAGAATTGGGAAGAAATCACTGAGGAGATTCACAAACCCACTAGGCCCATCATGAAACCTACACTGAGCCAATGAATCACTGCAGACATACTCTAAGACACTCTGTGTGTTCAAACTCCATTTTCCACCTTACTTCCTTAAGCCCTCACTCTGAATTGTGAACCTCAGTCTCATTTTGGGTTCCAAGGTATTAGTGTTGACTGAGAACCACTGTACTGTATGTAATTCCCCCAAAGTCCAGATAGTTCCCTTTCTCCAATGCCCAGTCACCTGGGTAAAAGGCCACAGGCCTCTTTGGGGAAGGCTTTGGAGAAGATCACATGCTTGTGGCAGCGTCACACACAAGGTTCTTCCTGAAGACAACCTAGCAAAAGGACCCTGGGTCTGAAATGACTCAGGTCTGGGGATTGAGTAAGAGGCCATTACTCTCCACTGTTGTCATTCAAATTGGGCCTCTGTTCACCAGACCCAGGTGCATTTATATATTTATTCATTTATTTAAAAATACAACTCAATTAAAACTTTAATAGGCTGTTCATCTATTTTAGTCCTGTAATCACTGTGAGCAATTAACTACAACCAAAGATCGCTACGAGTCAAACCATTTGGTTAAATCTCTGGCCCTATTATCTAATAAGAGTAATAATGCCCACCTTGTATCAGGGGGTTAAACATTGCCACTTGATCTCCGACACGCTGCAGTACCATCATCCCCACTAAAATCAGGGCTTCAGTGTTGGCATCTCCCACCATCATCCTCAGTAGGAGAGCATTATAGAGCATTTCAAGGAATCTGGAGCTCCCCTCACCAGTGTATTTGGCAAAGCCTCGGGGAAAGGAGTGTCTTCTGAGTGACTTGCGGGTCATAGTGATGAGGTGGTGAGCAGGTCGCCCATGACAAATGTACTCCAAACTTCCGATCTACTTAAGACTTTGGCTTCTTTCCTCTCTTATACCAAGGAAGCATGGCATCTTAATGTCATTTAACACAGGTCACTGTTGGGTCCAAGTTTCAGTCCAGCAACCAAGCAAACTATTAAAGTCACGTTAGACGTTAAAATCAACACATTAAATCCTGAATCTCTGGTAAGCGCATCCAGGTCAATAAATTCAGCCTATTCAACATTATATTCCTTTCTCCCTAGTGTAATGCCTCACAAATACAGTCCTACCTGTATTCCTCAGGTTTCTGTCAATTTAATTTGGCAGAATCTTTCCATTCTTTCAATATGGCAGTCCTCCTAGGTGAGTCCCTATACTCAACCCCCTCTCCCCAGGACGGGCTGGGATCCGACTCTAGTTGTAGGATTGGAGGCAAAGAGAAGCGGCAGTGGTATAGGGTGGATGTTAAGAATAATAGGTATCCCTGCACAGGTAGCTGCCTCAGGTGGAGTCAGTAGAGTCCTCGATGCAAGGGTGTTTAATCTGAGACAGCAGGACTGCTTATGCTGCTAAGAGGGGCTCAGTAGGATTTCTAGGTCCAAGGTGCTCAAAGTTATTGGAATCCTGTCAGATGTTCTCGTTCCCAATTCTCAGATTTGCATGTATTTCCAAATAAAGCACTATTTTTCACATAAGAGATGTGGCAAGTCTACGAAATCAACTTAAGCTGCAATTCTGCCACCTACTTGATGAAATTTGGGCTTGGGATATATTGACCTGCCGCCTACATGAAGGATGTGCTCTGGGTCTCTGAGTATGCCTTGTTCCAATAATTAAACCCCAAGCTGGACACTTTCTCCTCTTTGGCTCATTAACGTGGTCAGGTGTGGCTCGCCACCCCGCACTCCTTGGAGTTCTCAGTGCCTCTGTAACTTTGTAGCAGTCCTGTGGTCTGCCAGAGCACTTCACCACAGGCAACTACATTATAATTTAATCAATTTTGGTCACGGATTGCTAATATTAGTGACAAGATTAAACTGCCTTCAAATCCGACCAGCTCAGACACTAAGTCCAGACTCCCTGGAGCCACTTCTAGAACCAAATACTTTATTAGTCAGGGTTAGGTCAGGAAAACAGCTTTCACTCTACTTCAAGCTGGAAGACTCTCTATATGTGGAATTAAATGCTCACAAATCTACTGGAAAGGTTGGGGGAACAAAAGTCAAGGAAAAGACCTATTGGCTTTCAGGAATTCTAGAAGTGCAAAATCACAGGAAGCTACTCTGGTTTCCATATGCCTTTTTCAGCAGAAAGGCGTTGCCAGTTTCCATTTCGTCAACATCAAACCTGTATTCAGCAGAGTATTCCCATACTTTTAAATGTTTTTCAGCATCTGAAGAGCAACCAGGAATTGTCAGAGAAGCTGTCTGGGTTGCAGCAGGAGAAAGAAGCTCTACGTGAAGAGTATGGGCAATTTTTGAAGCGGCTTGATGTCCATGTGAGGTAAACAAAAACAAGTTCCCTTTAGAAGACTGAGCTACTTCTTAGGGAGCCAGAGCAGGGGATGCTCACAGAAGTGACCTTTCAAGAACGCCAACACCGATTTCCTTCATTCCCAAAAGTTCTATCTATAGGGCTTTTCCTAGGGAGATATGGGGCCTCATTCCTTCCCAAGAGAGGGAGGGGGAAGGGAATTACTATTTATTGAGCTCTAGTGGTAGCTAACATCTTGCTCTTCCCCAAATATACCCCCTCACTTGCCTTCAGCCTTCTTTTTCCCTTGCGTACTTTCCTCAGTCTGGACCACGCTCTCCCTATTTCAACTCTTCATTCTCAACCTAGGAGTCACCTCCTCAAGAAGCCTTTCTTGACACCTCCGGCCTGGGTTGAGTGAGGTGTCACTCTTTGTGTTCCTGTAGGCCTTTGTACATGGCTCTCTGTCATTATTTAAGAACTTGCCATGTTGTTTTGAAATAACGTGACTCACACCTGTCTTCCTCACCAGACTGTAGGTTTTAAAGGACATGGGCCATGGTCTTACTCATCCTTTTATCCACAGTCCCTGGTATATAACAGGTGCTCAATAAAAATTTATGTTCCCAAACTACCTGCTTTTTCTTCCATTCCCTGGTCATCATCCTACCAGATCCTCCCGCTCTCCTCCTCTCTGAAGTGTAGCTTAGTAGTTCAGAGTATGGACTCTGGAGCCATATTGCTTGGGTATAATTACTGGTTCTACTAGGAACTAGCTGTGACCTTGGGCAAGTTAAATAACCTCTCTGTACCTGAGGTATCTCATCTTTAACATGGACAAAATAGCCATTCCTATCACATAAAGTTGTTACGAGAGTTAACTGAATGAATATATGTAAAGCGTTCACTTAGAACGGTGTCTAGCACACAGCTGTTATTATTATTATATCTACTTATTTTTAGTTTTTAACCATGACCCACCTCTCTGCTCCTAGCTCTGCGCCCCTCTGCTCTATTCTTTCTATAGGTTGAAGTTCCTTATTCTCTTATGTTCTCACTCACCTACTATGTTGATTGTAGTTATGATAATGATTTAAAAACCATTTTCTGAAACTCCAGACCTGTGGTTGAGAAGCAACACTGTTTTAATCAGTGTATTTCATTCCTTGACGAGTGGTCAGCACCAAGCAAGAACTTTAGCAAAACAGCTCAGGTTAAGTCTAGGCCTGCTGGAATCAACCCTCACAACATAGCCAGATTTAGTTAAGAATTGCCCACTCGTCCTGTGATTGATGTTTTTATACAAAGTAACACATAAAAAACCATTTTTGTACATATATTTTTCATTTTAAAAATTATTTTTATACAGTAAATTCCTAGGTGTGGAATTACTAGTCCAAAAGCTGGAGTTATGGATCATAAAATGTATTATCAAACATTCAGAAGAGGGCTTCCTCAGTGGCGCAGTGGTTGAGAGTCTGCCTGCGGATGCAGGGGACACAGATTCGTGCCTCGGGCCGGGAGGATCCCACATGCCGCGGAGCGGCTGGGCCCGTGAGCCATGGCCACTGAGCCTGCGCATCCGGAGCCTGTGTTCTGCAACAGGAGAGGCCACAACAGTGAGAGGCCCGCGTACTGCAAAACAAACGAACAAACAAAAAAAAACATTCAGAAGCATTCTACCAAAATTTTCTGCCATCGTTATATGAGTAGCAATTTCACCACGTCCGAATTTGCATTGGCTGCTACTTTTGGTGGGGGAGAGCTGTGAAGAAATTTTCCCCAGTGTTCTTTCTTTTAATTGAGGTATAATTTACATATACACAGATTTTAAATGTACAGTTTGATGAGTTTTGACAAATGTATATGCCCACCTAACCACTAGCCCAATCAAGATACAGAATATTTCCATTATCCCTTGAATTTCTCTCCTACCTTTTTGCCGTCAGTCTGTATCTCTTGCTCCTCCTCCTCCTCCCAGGCATCCACTCTTCTGATTTCTGTTTCTCCTAGAATTTCATCAAAATGGAATTACACTGCGTGTAATCTTTTGTGTCTGACTTTTTTTTTTAAATAAATGTATTTATTTATTTACTTTTGGTTGCGTTGGGAGTCTTCGTTGCTGCATGTAGGTTTTCTCTAGCTGCGGCGAGCGGGGGGGCTACTCTTTGTTGCGGTGCATGGGCTTCTCATTGAGGTGGCTTCTCTTGTTGCGGAGCACAGGCTCTAGGCGCGAGGGCTTCAGTAGTTGTGGCACGCAGGCTCAGTAGTTGTGGCTCACAGGCTCTAGAGTGCAGGCTCAATAGTTGTGGCGCGCAGGCTTAGTTGCTCCACGGCATGTGGGATCTTCCCGGACCAGGGCTCAAACCCGTGTCCCCTGCATTGGCAGGCGGATTCTTAACCACTGCGCCACCAGGGAAGTCCTGTGTCTGACTTCTTTTGCTCAACTTATTCTATGATTTTTAATGCTCAGTTATAGACATTTCTTTGATGGTTAGTGAGGCTGAATAGTTTACCATATTATTTGTCCATACCCTTTAGGACAGTGGGTGCTAACCCTAGCTGCACATGCATGGGCCCCAACATAGATTAATCAAATCAGAACCTGTGAGGATAGGGCTTAGGGATCGATACTTTTCTAAAATCATCCCCATGTGATTCTGATGGGCACCTAGGGTTGAAAACTACAACTTTAGGAAAGAAAATGGAAGGGATTGTCAAAACTCTAGGTTCATTTTTGTTCTCATTCCCCTGATCCCACTCCTGACCTTTACAAACAATGCCTATTGTTTTCCATGTTTTCCCAGCTACTCTTCCAGAGGAACAAATTCCTTGCCTTTTTGAAATGAAAATAAATGAAAGACCATCTGGTTTTATATAAACATAAGCAAAAGTTGTCCTTAAATTTTAGAACATGAGTATTGTGCTGTCTTATTGTACAAATTAACAAAGCCAAACATAAACTTAGAAAATCCGCATGTTCTTCGGGCAAGTTGGCCAACAGAACTTCTGGCTAAACTAATAGGTGTGTCAGATAACCAGCCTGCTGTGGAAGGGAAGGCTCTAAGCTCTCCCCAGCTCTACTGCATCCACGTACTTTTCACACCATGTAGCACTACTGAAAGAAGCCTGAATATCAAGCAATAGGAGCCAGTTAGGTCAAGTATAATACATTCACTTGATGGAACATAATACAGCTGTAAAAGATGGTGGCCATGAAGACTAGATAACAACATGGGAAAATGCTGTGATACAATAAATGAAAAGAGAATAAGATAATTTTAATGTAGACAGTGTTTTAAAAAAAGATGCTTATAAAAAGACTGGAAGGAAATACAAGAATATTATAATACTGATCATATGGGAGTTGGGTTTTTTCCCCAAATTGTCTATAATCTTTAAAAAATAAATTAATATTTTTGTAGTCCAAATGGCAGGATAAGAGAGACAGAAGCTGTCTGGCATGGAAGTTGCAGACGTGGGTTTTAATATCCCAAGGCAGAAAGGGTAAAAGCAACTCCAGAAATACATGTTGTGTTTCAAATGATGTCAAAAATCAGAGGAACTGGGCTTCCCTGGTGGCGCAGTGGTTGAGAGTCCGCCTGCCGATGCGGGGGACACGGGTTCGTGCCCTGGTCCGGGAAGATCCCACATGCCGTGGAGCAGCAGGGCCCGTGAGCCATGGCCGCTGAGCCTGCACGTCCGGAGCCTGTGCTCCACAACGGGAGAGGCCACAACAGTGAGAGGCCCGCGTACCGCAAAAAAAAAAAAAAAAATCAGAGGAACTGTGAACAGCTGGGAAACTTAGAGAACAACAGGTGTACTGTTAGATAGTGTTAAACCTCTGAGGCTATGGACCAGAGGATGCTGAAACCCGGTGATATCTTTTGCCAAGCTCTTCCTAGTATAAGGGAAAATGAGAACATTTATGAGATAGAAATATCTCCCTGTAAAGAACATAAGTCACAATCTTCAAGAATAGGTACCTCATATTATGTAGTGGGTGCTGCAAGGGCCACAGAACTGAACAGGTCTCAGGCAGTTTTATGAACCCAGGTATCTAGAGCAACTCCATTAATTAGGATGTAGGTTGAGTTGCTGCAGCAGAGACACTGAATAAGAATGTCTTTAAAAAGGGAGGGTTTTCTCTCTTACCTAAAAGTGCAGGATGGATGTGGCAGCTCCATGTTTCCGAAGTCTAGACGCCTTCCTTGTTATTGCTCCAACATCTTTAGCACTTAGCCACATAGTTCAGGTGGTTCACTACCATATCCACATTTCTTCCAACAGGAAGGGAGAAAGAGGGGACAGCGAGAGCATTCCATTCTCCTGGAAGGCACACTACTTCCACTCCGGCTCTTGGCCAGAACTTATTCCCATAGCCTCATCTAACTGCAAGGAAAGCCAGAAAATGCAGTTCCTATTTGAGCGACCAAGTGCCAAGCTAAATCCGGGGCTCTATAATGACAGAAGAAGGAGAAAGTGGATTGGGGACAATCCCCACAGTCAGTCACTGCCACACGCACTGACAATCTGGTGACAAGGCCCGGTATGCATGTCTCTGGCCTACCAGAATTCAAACTTCTCCGCTTGGCATCTGGCTAACAGCTAAATTAATCTTCTAAGGGAACAATATACAAAACGATTCTTTTTTTTTAATTTTAATTTTACTTTTTTGGCTGCATTGGGTCTTGGTTGCTGCGCGTGGGCTTTTTCTCTAGTTGCGGCGAGCGGGAGCTACTCTCTGTTGCGGTGCGCGGGCTTCTCTTGTTGCAGAGCACAGGCTCTAGGCACGCAGGCTTCAGTAGTTGTGGCTTGTGGGCTCTAGAGCGCAGGCTCAGTAGTTGTGGCCCACGGGCTTAGTTGCTCCGTGGCATGTGGGATCTTCCTGGACCAGGGATCAAACCCGTGTCCACTGCATTGATAGGCAGACTCTCAACCACTGCGCCACCAGGGAAGTCCCTACAAAATGATTCTTTTATTTACAATCAGCAAGTAGGAGAGAGAGGGACACTACTTTGGAAAATGGAAGAGTCTTGCAAAAACACATTTAGAGGTAAGATATAACTTACAAGAACATAAGACTCTCTTGGAGTAGCTATTCCATCATAGTTTGACTAGAATTAGTATCTAAATAAGTCTGCTTTGCTCTTCCCCTCCCATCTGGTTCCTAGTTTTTATGTAAAACAAAATATCTCATCAAGAGAAATTGACAATATCCGGTTTGCCTGGCTTTGCTGGTATTATAGCACTGGGGCATAGTGGGAGATCACAGGCTCTGGAATCAGATTCTCCTCTGTAAAAGTGACTTCCCTCTGTGTCAGGAGTCTTCAAGACCACCCTCAGGTCTGGAGGTTCATTAGGACTTTCAGATCTCAGGAAAGGTTTTACACTCATGGTTATGGTTCATTACAATGAAAGGATACAGATTAAAAAAGCATGCAGCGAGAGTTCAGGAGAGATAAGATGCAAGCAAGCTTCCCATCGTCCTCTCCCAGTGGAGTAGTATGGGCAGTGCTTAATTCTCCCAGCGACGTCGTGTGGCAATATATATGAAGCATTCCCAGCCAGAGAAACTCACCTGAGCCTTGACATCCAGGGATTTAATCGGGGATTAGTCAGGAGGACAGAGAGCTCCTGGGATTGACCTTAACTACTTAGTCTCCAGTTCTCCAAACTCTGAATAGTCAAACTGATCCAGCATGGCCCAGGCCCAAGGTGAACAAAAATGCATTCACCATGAATCATTTTGTTAGCATAAAATATCTGGTGTGGCCCAAAGCCACCGGTACACAGAGACATTATTATCAGGCAGGATATTCCAAGGGCTTAGAGGTTGTCTCCCAGGAACCAGTCAAAGACTGGAAACCCAGACCCACTGAGTTTACTGCACAGCATCCATCTCCTGGGCCACAGAGTGAGGACATCACCTTCACAAGTTTGCTTTAAAAGCACGCGAGGTGTCTTGTGATAAACCTGGAGCACACGTTAGTTCCCTTCACTTAGTTAGGACTTCCTCCAGTTTGAGTGTCAGAGCCCCAGACAGTTGACATAGGCAAACTGCCCAGCATCATAGGCCTGAATGACTGTGCCCTTCCGTGCCTACACTGACAGAGAGCAGATGCTTCATTCCTTAAACACTTTTCCTTTCAGTTAAAAAGGCATTATTCAAATCTCTAGGCATTCAGGGAAATCAGAGGCTAGAGAGAGCGTTAGAATACTGTTTTGTTTGTTTAGTTTTTCTGTTTTTAAGATATCAGGATGTAATTGACCACAGATAACAAAAAAACCTGACTAATATATTTAAACAAACTTTTTTTTTCTTATATAACAAGAAATCTGGAGGAAGATGATTATGGAGATGGATTCAGCTGCTCAGTAGCATCCTTAAGGACAGGCTCTTTCCCTCTTCCTCCTCTGCCATGCTTGGCGGGCTGATGGCTTTGTCCTTAGGCTTCACACCTCATGGTTACAAGGCAGCGACTGTAGCTGCAGGTAACAGCCTCGGCAGGAGGGCAGCCAGAGCAGAGAGGGACCTTTGTTCAAATTCCTGCTTTTCCAGCAGGACTTACCTGTCTCACACACCCAATCCCCACCCCAACCCACCCTGCACACACGTGGGGCACACCCACCTTCCTCGAGATCAAGCGATCCTTATGGACACCTAAATGAACTTGAGTTCTGTTAGCAGGAATGAAGAAAGGCCATTCTGCCCTTACAGCCTGCCACAAGTAGTCTGTTTACAATGAAACAGAAGTAGTGAGGAGGTCCCCCAAGGGTTTCTCCCAAACTTTAGCCTGCATCAGAATCCCCTGGAGGACCTAGTAAAACACAGATCCTCCTCCAGACTTTCTTATTCTGTAATTCTGGGATAGAGCCCGAGACTTTGCATCTCTAACAAGTTGCCAGGTGATGATGGTGTTGCTGGTCAGAACACAGTTTCAGAACCATTGCTATTGGCTTAGAGCAAACCTCGTTTAGGGACATTAGCTAGAGCAATGGTTGTCAGTAGGGGATAGTTTGCCTTCCAGGGCAAGGAGACACTTGGCAATGTCTGGAGACTTTTCAGGTTGTCACACTGTAGAAGGTGCTACTAGCATCTTGTGAGTGGAGGCCAAGGTTGTCGCTAAGCATTCTTCAAAGTACAGGTCAGCTCTCTACAATAAAGAATTATCCGGCCCAAAACGTCAGTAGTACAGAAATCCTGGTTCAGAGGGATTTTGTGTTATTAGACCTCATAGGTTTGATCTCGGAGAGGCAGCAGTGAGCGGTGGCGCGAAGCTAGATCTTAATTCCCTGCCCAGGAATTGAACCTGGGTAGCCTGTATGAAAACCAGGAATCCAAGCCACCAGACCCCCTGGCTCTTGCCCCCAGTGAAAAATGCATTTCTCACGGAGGCAAAGACTGTAAAAATGGGTACGAAGTTTATTATTAGAGACATACCACAACAACAAGTTGGGAGAGCCCACAGAGAAACAGTTTGTTTAGTTAAGATAGAAGCAAGGCAGAGATGCACACACGGAGAGAAAGGGTGTCGGCATCCCACCTAATGAGGAGGAGTGCAGTAAAGAAGCGGTTAAATCATTTACATAGGGCAGTTCTTCCGGGTCTTTGTTTACCTTTGGCCAATTACCTGGTTTCTTTTTCCACACCTGACATGCCCTAGCACCCTCCCCAACATGCGTGCGCAACTTTTTTCCAAGATGGATTCCAGCCCAGAGGCATATGGGCCGCCTTAGCATCACATATTATCGGATGGTGCCCCCTCCTTTTTGATCCCCAAGGAGGCTTTCTGCACACATGTAGTGTCTCCCTTGCCCCAAGGATGGGAAATGTATGACCTCTTGTTCTTTTCCTCAAACGGGGTTTAGCCCCTCTCTGTCCCTGCCGTTACTGTTATCTTAAGGCATCCACAGGAGACAAAGCCTGGCTGTTTACCCTGTCTCTGCTGTTACTTCCATTTCACAGAGCAAAAGGAGGCTGGCTGTAAATGCCTAACCTGGAGCCCACCTATCTCCTGTCTCAGTAAATGCAAACACAAGGCTAGTTACTTGTAAGTGTCCGGCCGGAAGCCCAACTTTTTCTCCCCCCAAGAAATGTGAACAGGAGGCCAGTTGTAAATGGCTACCCTGGAGCCCATCTATTTCCTGCCTTAGGTTCAAAGTGAAAGTTCTTAATTTTTCATTTGAAGAAGCACTTTCTGAGTAACAATATTCTCATTTGGAAAGCACAGTCATCTTCAGAGCAGTTTGCCTAGTGGTGGTATGCAGGCTTTAATCTATTTTCTTATTTACTCAGGATTAGCTGTTGTAGTAGCTTGAAATGGTAACTCAGATTTTTGTTGTCTTTTTTTTTTAATAGCAGGTTTATTGAGATATAATTCACATACCATACAATTCACCCATGGAAAATGTACAAATCAGAGGCTTTTAGTTGTACATCCGTCGCCACAATCGATTTCATTACCCCAAAAAGAAACTCTTTAGCTATACTCCCCAGCCCCAGGCAATCACTAACGTACTTTCTTTCACTCTATATTTGTCTCTTCTGGACATTTCATCTGAATGGAATTGTAAAATATGTGGTCCTTTGTGACTGGCTTCATTCACTTAGCATAGTGCTTTCAAAGTTCATTCATGTTGTAGCATGTATCAGTACTTCATTCCTTTCTGTAGCGGAATAATGTTCCATTGTACAGATACTCCATATTTTGTTTATTGATTCATCAGTTGATGGAAACTTGGGTTGTTTTAACCTTTTGGCTGTTGTGAATAGTGCTACTATGGACATTCATGTACAAGTTTTTGTGTGGACGTATGTTTTCATTCCTCTTGGGTATATACCTAGGAATGGAATTGCCAGATCATATGGCTCTACTTTTAACCATTTGAGAAACTGCCAGGCTTTTTCCCTTTGCCATTCCTACCAGCAGTGTATGAGGGTTCCAGTTTCTCCACATCCTTCTCAGCACTTGTTATTATCTTTCTTTTTTATTTTAGCCATTCTACTAGGTGTGAAGTGGCATCTCATTGTAATTTTGATTTGCATTTTCTTTATAGCTAATGATGTTGAACATCTTTTCATGTGTTTATTAGTGGTAAGTCAAATTTATGTCAGACTCAGTAAGAGTCTTGAGCAGAGACATATAGAATTGGCATTTAAAAGTCTAGACCTCAAGGCAAGGACTGAGAGCAAACCCACTTATCTGGAAAATAGACAAGATAGAAGTAGTGGGTTATATCACTGTCCGAGGGTGTAGCCAAGAACTAGAAAATTTTAAATCAATGGAGCAGGATTCCGAATTGATAGATGTCAGGGATCAGAAGTCGAGGAGTTTCCTGAGTTGGGGATGACGGAATCTTGTGTTATTTAGGACGTTGTACTTGGTCCATTCTCCCCACCCGGGGGGCAAGAAGTCCTGCAGATGTGAGGCAGGGCAAGTCTCCATCTGTGGTGCCAGAGGCCCTGACAAAGCAAGAAGAGGAAACCCAAGAAAGGTGCATACTGAGGAGGCAAAGTAGTTTGCACTGTGTTCAGGTGCACCTATATTTAAATTTGCTTTTGTAGAAACTATAATGAGAAACATCACCACCACAAAGCCAAACTTCGCAGAGTCAAGGATCGTTTAGTTCATGAAGTAGAACTCCGAGATGAGAGAATCAAACAACTTGAAAATGAGATTGGAGCCCTGCAGCAACAAATGGAAAAGGTGAGGGGAAGAGGTGGAGCGCTCACTGGTGATGCTGGTGTTGGTCATCTGGAGGAAGCCCACTCATTTTTTAATGTAAGCCCACTCTTCATAGCCCAGGTTTCCATTTCTTTTCTTTGCACCCTTTTTCAATTTGAGTAATTGTTTAAGCCCTGCCCCAAGGTGTGTAAGACTCATAGCGATGCTAGATCAAATTAGACACTGAAAATACTCTGCACTGCTGCTTAGGACTAGTGTCTTGCCTTCAAATGAAAGTATCTTCTTAATCACCCTGCAGCAGAGACTTCCAGACCACCCTCCGTAACTCATTCCTACTTTATGCAGCCTTCATTTTGCCTCACATTTCTGTCAGTTTTAAATGGCAGTGAACACAGGTGACCCCTATTCTTTCATCAGTCCTTGACTAGAGCCTTCAGGCTGTTTTCTAAATATCCCTGGTTTCTTTGTTTGTCTTGTCGCCCCTGTGTGACTTTCTAGTGTGTGAGTAAGAAGGAAATGGGACAGATGAATGGGATCAAATGACAAATGACCTTGAGAGCATTAAACTACATCCATTCAAAATGGAGAGCAACTGATTTGGCCAGGAATGTTTCCCTTCTGGAGATCCCCAGCCCATTTCAGAATTTTGAAAACATTGTCCTCAGTCTTAAATTACTCATTTCTTCACCCAACAAATTTTCATCATACCACCACTATGTGCCAAGGATACCAAAAAGGTTGATGTAAATTCAGTTATTCCATGGGCTATTATAGGACTCCAGGGTAAGAATCCTTAGATTACGCACAGAAAACATTTGAGGATTATAACAGATGGGTCACCATTGTTGTGTTTTTAGTTTTAAAAAATCCTCTTGATATTCCAAACTGTAGTAAAAAAGGAAAATATGTTAGATTTTGCAGTACCCTCCTATTTTGGCACTAATTCATCCAACTTTTAAAAACTCAGATCCACAACTAGGAAGACAATATAGAAAGTATAACAGAAGAAAGTAGCAACCCTGGTTCATGGGCCCCCCAGAAATATCATCAACCTATTCTGTATTACCCATTCTTCCTTGTGATGCCTGCCTTCCACTTCCAGGCTTACATGGCAAAACCAGCCTCCTGCTTTCAGCAGGCATGTTTCCTGACTGTACTGTGTTCCAGTGTACCCCCAAAATCCATGTCTACCCAGAACCTCAGAATGTGACCTCATTTGGATGTAAGGTGTTTTCAGGCATAAACAGTTAAAACGAGGTCATACTGGATTAGCGTGAACCCTAAATCTGATATGACTAGTATCGTTATAAGAAGAGGAAAAGACACACACAAAGACAGACACAGGGGAAGAAGGCCATGTGATGACAGAGGCAGAGATCGGAGTGATGAAGCCACAAGCCAAGAAACACCAAGGATTGCTAGCAACTACCAGCTAGGAGAGAGACATGGAACAGATTCTCCCTCAGCACCCCCAGAACTAACCCTGTCCACACCTTACTGGCCTCCAGAACTGTGAGAAAATAAATTCTTGCTGTTTTAAGCTGCCCAGTTTGTAGTAATTTGTTACAGCTGTCCTAGGAAATGAACACATCTGCCCAAAAAACCACAGGCCTCCATGAAATTAACTGGAGACTGCAAGTAAGCAGAGGCGAGGAAAGAGTGGTTGGTGTTGGCCTTGGACAGACTTGGATGCAAAGTCTAGCCCTGCCACTTGATAGTTCTGTGACCTTGCCCGAGTCCCTGTGCATCATTTTCTGCCTCTGTAAAATGGGGAAATAATTAAAATACAAAATGCCTAACGTGGGACCTGGCACATATAAATTTTCATAAATGTTATTTTCTTCTTAGTGTAAAATCTCTTAGAAGCGTGTTAATCAGTAGATGTACCACAGTGGTACAAACCTGGAGCTCCTGATTTTACTTATTTTAGGGCCCGTGAACCAGAGCCCCGAGCATACAAAAGCTGGGCTCACTTTCTAAGCACCTAATCGCCAGAAAATAATGCCACTTTGGGGGGCTTCATTCCTTCAGCCTTCTCTTTATACAGTGAGCCAGCTGAGTCCTCTGACTGTGTGACCACCCAAACCAGATTTCCCCAAATACTTTATCCTATTATTAGAGCAGATGTCCCGATTTTTTGGTTCCAAAACATACAGTATTTCCAACGGACAGGGTGTCAGTAGCCTGCCCCACTCAATTTCCTTTCTAATCCAGTTATAACTGCAGAGAGCATTATTTGTGGGGTAACTGCTTATATTCTCAATCCTTCTCATAAATATATTTAAATAATAGCAGGCAAGACTATTGTTAGACATTGAAGGGTCCTGGATGAAGGACTTTAAGATCTGGAAGAGTTTGTTTCAAAACATACTGTAATCTCCTTCCTTACAATTCCTTAATAATAGATGGACAGCCTTTCTTTCATTTTGAATTATAATTGACATAATATTTTATTAGTTTCAGGTATATAACATAACGATTTGATATTTATATATATTGCTAAACGTTCACCACAATAAGTCTAGTTAACATCCATCACCACACATAGTTACAAATTTTTTTCTTGTGATGAGAACTTTTAAGATCTACTGTCTTCGCCACTTTCTCATATGCAATACAGTATTACTAACTATAGTCATCATGCTGTACATTATATCTTTATGGCTTATTAATAACCGGAAGTTTGTACCTTTTGACTGCTTTCACCCATTTCACCCACCCCTCTCCACCTCTGGCAGCCACCAATCCGTTCTCTATATCAGTGAGTCTGGTTTTCTTTGTTGCTTGGGTTTTTTTAGATACCACATATATGGACAGTCTTTTCTGAATGATCTATATTAGTACCTTATTAAAAGAAAGAAAGTTGCCGCTCTTAACCCTGTGGTTCACCCATCTACCAGAGGTGGTGTTTCTCCTCCCGTCCCCACTCGCTCCCACACGTGGCAGGTGGAAACAAACACAAATAGGTGAAGGCACTTGCCTGTCACCATTGACAGGCTCTTGGTGAAGTGAGAAGGGCAGTTCTACACTTGTGAGCTTCTAAACTCCTCACCAACAGTGATATTTACTAATATCTGCTGACTCAACATAAGAATGTTAGTGTTTTTTCACAAAATATAATCCTTTATCATTTTAGCTATAACTTCGCTAGCTATTGCTTCCAGGGAAAACGTTGGTAGATAATGAAACATGCTGTCAAGCTAGAAATCATTTCAGCATCATCACTGCAAGAATATTCTCGGTACCTGGTTTACATGCTGAACTTGCCAAGCCAACTGAGACCCTGACATTGGTTGTCAGGTGAGGTGGCTAGATTCCCGTCTTCCTCCCTTTGCCTTAAAAAGACTATAACTACAAAGCAGATGGAAATGTGTTACATGGAAATCTTTCTCAATATGGAGATTCAGAGAATTCAGTTGTATTTGTTAGTGACTCGATAACCTATGGAATTAGAATACAGATGAGAGCATTGGGACCTTACTGGGAGTTGAGCGTTCAGATATTTTTAAATGTTAACCCAAAAGAATGAGTAAATGTCCAAACAAAATACATGACATAAAATATCCAAGATAAATAGAAGAACCGTCTAGCTGACAATTCAGCAAACAGATAAAGACAGACTAGAAGACAGGAGAGAAGAAGTTCACAAGGCAGTTTGCTGTCAGAGTTTAGAAACAGGCTGATGCTCTTAAATGTGTGATTCTTTTTCCTTCCGGGGTAATGAGGGGGCTTTATTATCCCCAGGAGAAGGCATTCCAGGACCAGATCACCACCCAAAATGATATCCTGCTCCTAGAAAAGAGGAAACTTCTGGAGCAGCTCACAGAGCAAGAGGAATTGATCCACGGCAATAAATGGATAATATCTTCGGTCCAGAGCAGGTGGGTGCCTGCCTGAGTCACCTGTGAGCTCCACAAAGAGGAGGTTTCTCCCTCCACAAAGAGATCTTTCCAGAGGTAGTCCTCTGAGTTTGCGGCCTATCTGATAACCGTTTCTCTGCCATTCTGCTGTTTTTAGCAGTTCATACAAGTGGCAGAGTTGTGAAATTAAAGAGAAAAATATCATGGAGAAGGCGGGCTGGGCATTCAGATAGGCTCTTTCATGGCAACATTGCCTCCTGAGGACCCAGCTCTGCTCCTTCGGGCCCTTCTCTTTGTGTGTGTTGACACTCACGTTTATCATTTGGCACCTGTGGAATCAAGGTGTAGACCAAGAGAGAAGCAGGCTGGCATCCCAGCTCAATGGCTTTCTGGTTTTATCTTCTTACACGAGTTACTTTCCCCACTCTGAGCCTCAGCTTCCTCATCTGCAAAATAGGCTTCATAACAGTATCTCTTTTATGGGGTTGTTGTGAGGATTAAAGGAGCTAATACATGAAAAGTTTTCAGTGCTTACTGTGTGGATAGGAAGTACTTGGTCAGTGGTTGCTGCTGCTGCTACTACTATTTTTACTTCTACTACTACTACTACTACTGAAACAAAAGCATGGGATGACTGAGATCAGAACCAGATGTAGGCTGTGTATGAACAGTGTTCATACACAGTGTATGGCTGTGTATGAACCAGATGCGACCAGATGAATAGTGTTTGAAGGGATGCAGAGTCCCTCCCCTAAATGGGATCGTATCCTTCCTTAAGTTTCTCAAGGGCTGGAATTGTGCCTTTCATATTCTTGCATGTAGTGTGTCTCTGTTCTCAGTATGTATTTAATGACGGTGTACAAGCCAGAGGCTTATTCATTTTTCACTTGGTCTTGGAATATGGTGGGAATTATTCTGGCAAAGTTAGTTCCAAAATCTGGCAGTGGGCTGAGACTCAGAGCTAGTGGGAAATGGGAGAGAGTTTTTAGGAAGGATACAGACATGTTTAGTTACGCCTCTGATTTATACCATCCTTAGAGTACTTTTCCTGGATAAAGAAAATAAGCAGCTACAAGAAAACAGTCTCCGGCTCACGCAGCAGGTTGGTCTCTTAGAGCGAATCATAAGGAGCATCCAGATCCGCAGAGGGGAGGTAAGGTTGCTCTTCTCACCTTCCTTCATCTTCTGCGTGTAGCTGTAGCCTGCACTTGGCCTCATGGTGGACTGCAGCAAAGAGGCTCGCTGGCTGCACGCGGGGGCAGCAGGCCTGGAGACTGCTCTTGACCAACTTTGCTCTTCACTGGGTCAGCTTTTGTTCAACGTGCTCCTCCTGTGTGATCCCAAAGCACACTGTGTGTGTCTCCTAGCTTCTTCCTTAACACACTGTATTGTCATCACCTCTTCACTTCTCTATCTCATCATCTCAGCAGCGACATCCTGGAGGGCAAGGGTTGCATCTCATGTGCCATTGTATCTACGGACAGATACTCCATAAATATTTGAGAATGAACGGATGTTAAATGTCCTCACACAGATGCCTCCTTCTCAGCTATCCTGTTTAGCATGTATTATTCTTGCCCCATCTGAGAGATGAGCCCATCTGAGGCTCAGAAAGGTAAAGCGAAGCTAGTCTGGTCTGGCAAGGAGTCAAGCCTAAGGAGAACATCTGAGTCAGAGAAAAGCAATTATGTTACAAAAAACCATGCTGGCAAGTAGCCAAGTCCAGAGAGCTGCAGCAAATAAGTCTCTGTTGCCATGAGGTCCAGAGTCTGGCTGGTGAGCAGTCAGCCAGAGGGACTTCAGTAAGCAGAGTTGCATTCTGACTCCAGGATGGAGGCTGCTTGCTTTCTTCCCTGGCTTGTATCACCTGCTAGGCGTTTCTTCCTAGGATATTCCACAGTAGATCCTGCTCATTGGGTACTATTGCTATGAGCGTTAAGACCTGCATCATGTTTGGTCTCAGAAAGGTGATAGTTTCCAAGTTTTTGAGTTGTTTTGCAGATTTTATCAAAAGTAGAACTGCCACAAAAACAGAAATATAGATCAATGGAACAGGATAGAAAGCCCAGAGATAAACCCACAAACACGTGGTCATCTTATTTTTCATAAAGGAGGCAAGAATATACAATGGAGAAAAGACAGCCTCTTCAATAAGTGGTGCTGGGAAAACTGGACGGCTTTATGTAAAAGAATGAAATTAGAACACTCCCTAACACCATACACAAAAATAAACTCGGGCTTCCCTGGTGGCGCAGTGATTGAGAGTCCGCCTGCCGATGCAGGGGACACGGGTTTGTGCCCCGGTCCGGGAAGATCCCACAGGCCGCGGAGCGGCTAGGCCTGTGAACCATGGCTGCTGAGCCTGCGCGTCCAGAGCCTGTGCTCCGCAACGGGAGAGGCCACAACAGTGAGAGGCCCGCGTACGGCAAAATAAATAAATGAATAAATAAATAAATAAATAAATAAACTCAACATGGATTAAAGACCTAAATGTAAGGCCAGAAACTATCAAACTCTTAGAGGGAAACATAGGCAGAACACTCTATGACATAAATCATAGCAAGATCCTTTTTGACCCACCTCCTAGAGAAATGGAAATAAAAATAAACAAATGGAACCTAATGAAACTTAAAAGCTTTTGCACAGCAAAGGAAACCATAAACAAGACGTAAAGACAACCTTCAGAATGGGAGAAAATATTTGCAAATGAAGCAACTGACAAAAGATTAATCTACAAAATTTCCAAGCAGCTCATGCAGCTCAACATCAAAAAAACAAACAACCCAATCCAAAAATGGGCAGAAGACCTAAGTAGACATTTCTCCAAAGAAGATATACAGATTGCCAACAAACACATGAAAGAATGCTCAACATCATTAATCATTAGAGAAATGGAAATCAAAACTACAATGAGGTATCACATCACACCAGTCAGAATGGCCATCATCAAAAAATCTACGAACAATAAATGCTGGAGAGGGTGTGGAGAAAAGGGAACCCTCTTGCACTGTTGGTGGGAATGTAAATTGATACAACCACTATGGAGAACAGTATGGAGGTTCCTTAAAACACTAAAAATAGAACTACCATATGACCCAGCAATCCCACTACTGGGTATATACCCTGAGAAAACCATAATTCAAAAAGAGTCATGTACCACAATGTTCATTGCAGCTCTATTTACAATAGCTAGGACGTGGAAGCAACCTAAGTGTCTATCAACAGATGAATGGATAAAGATGTGGCACATATATGCAATGGAATATTAATCAGCCATAAAAAGAAACAAAATTGAGTTGTAGTGAGGTGGATGGACCTAGAGTCTGTGATACAGAGTGAAGTAAGTCAGAAAGAGAAAAACAAATACCATATGCTAACACATATATATGATGAAATCTAAAAAAAAAAATGGTTCTGAAGAACCTAGGGTCAGGACAGGAATAAAGACGCAGATGTAGAGAATGGACTTGAGGACATGGGGAGGGGGAAGGGTAAGTGGGACAGAATGAGAGACTGGCATGGACATATATACACTACCAAATGTAAAATAGATAGCTAGTGGGAAGCAGCCGCATAGCACAGGGAGATCAGCTCGGTGCTTTGTCACCACCTAGAGGGGTGGGATAGGGAAGGTGGGAGGGAGACGCAAGAGGGAGGAGATATGGGGATATATGTGTATGTATAGCTGATTCACTTTGTTATAAAGTAGAAACTAACACACCATTGTAAAGCAATTATACTCCAATAAAAATGTTAAAAAAATTAAAAAGTAGGGGCTTCCCTGGTGGCACAGTGATTGAGAGTCCGCCTGCCGATGCAGGGGACACGGGTTTGTGCCCCGGTCTGGGAAGATCCCACATGCCGCGGAGCGGCTGGGCCCGTGGGCCCGTGGGCCATGGCCGCTGGGCCTGCGCGTCCGGAGCCTGTGCTCCGCAACGCAAGAGGCCACAATAGCGGGAGGCCACAACAGGGAGAGGCCCGCGTACCGCAAAAAAAATAAATAAATAAAAAAGTAGAACTGCCAGATGATGTGACCTAATTTCCAACAGTGTATGGCTTTGCTTGAGCTACAATTGTTCTTAATTGTCTAGTCATTCACTCTTTTACTTAATCATTCATTCAACAAACATTTATTTATTTATTAAAGGGAACTTTATTATTTTTATTCATTTATTTTTGGCTGTGTTGGGTCTTCGTTGCTGCGCGTGGGCTTTCTCTAGTTGCGGCGAGCGGGCTTCTCATTGTGGTGCCTTCTCTTGTTGTGGAGCACGGGCTCTAGGTGCACAGGCTTCAGTAGTTATGGCACACAGGCTCAGTAGTTGTAGTTCGCGGGCTCTAGAGCACAGGCTCAGTAGTTGTGGCCCATGGGCTTTGTTGTTCTGCGGCATGTGGGATCTTCCTGGACCATTGCTCGAACCCGTGTCCCCTGCATTGGCAGGCGGATTCTTAACCACTGCGCCACTGGGGAAGCCCTCAACAAAAATTTATTAATTCCAAGAACTGTGATAGGTCCTAGGAATATGGAAGATGGTTCCTGTTTTCAGAGACCTTCAGTCTAGTAGAAAAGGACAGACACATACGTGAATAAATACTATAGTATTGTCAGTGCTGAGTTACAGGCCTTAAAGGAGTATTTTTTAGGACCAATAGTTTTGAGATCCACAATATTGTCATCAAATCAAGTTAAGAAATGTCACATGGGTCAGAACTACAGTATATCAAGCTCAATATCCCACGTGTGACAAAGGTACCGAGTTGTAACATCTTGACACCTATTGGAATAAACTCCAAAACTGTCTATAAACTTAGAATCTTAAGGATCCTCCAATCCAATCCTCTCATTTTACACAGGAGGGGGATAAAACCCAGAGAAGTTGAATGATATGTCAAAGGCCACATAGCTACTGCTTACGTTTCCAAGATCTGTTGATTCTCAGTGATGACCACATATGCAAATAGATCAGTATATAGATCCCTGAGATCAGACATATCCTAGGTCGCTTCCTTTCTTGGGGCTACAGTGGTGACAGCTTGACATTCGTTGGGTGCTTACTATGTGCCTGGGACTGTTCTAAGCACTTTATGTATATTATCTCCTGTAATCCACAAAATAATCTTATGTGAAAAGCCTGTCATTCCCATTTTCACAGTTGAAGAATCTGAGACCTGGAGAGGTGAAGTGACATCGTTGCCCAAGGTCACACAGCTGATAAATAGAAAAACAAGGACTGAAAACAGCATTCTCTGGTCCCTGCTCTTAGCCACTGTCTCATAATACTCCAAGTCAACTGTTTCCCTTGCAGGGGCATTGGAGTAACCAGGGACATAGCCTTTGTAATAGACCATGTTGCTGCCTGTATTGTAATTCCATCCTTCTCAGTTGGCTTATACACTACAAGAGAGCAGGAACTCTGCCCATCTTGTTACCCATTGCATCCCAAATACTTAGCACCTGGGTCACTGCAACAACTTCTTAACTCATCTCCTTTCAATCTCTCCTCCTCTTCTAATCTGCCCTGCCCATGCCACTAGACCCATCGTCGTGAAACACTGCTTGATTTCATAGTACTTCATGTCAAAGAGTTTCAGAGACTGCCTTTGTCTATAAGACAAAGTTTATTCATTCAACACATATTAATGGACCATATACAGTGTGCCAGGCCTCATGCTGTTTCCCATATGGTTTAAATATGATGGTGAACAAGAGATACTCTCTGTCTTCCCAGAACTCGTGCCCAGTGAGAATGACAATCTTGTAACTGGCAACTGCCATGCGCTAAGTTCTGCAAGAGCAGTAGGCCCAGAATGCTGAGGAAGCAGGGGGAGTGGTGTCTCAACCTGTCTGGAGTGGCTAGGGAAGGCTTCCGGAGTTATTGATGTCTAAACCAGAACTGAAGCCACATAAGAACGTTCCATATTCCAAATACCTTTCTGACAAACCTAATCAAAAGAAACTAGCCTATTCACTGTTTCCCCAAAAGCTCTGCCGTTTCCTCCTCTGAATCATGTATTTCCCTTGCTTGGAAAGACACATCTCATCTCCCCTGTCCCATCTTCCCAGGCTTTGTCTTTTGAAGTCCTATGGTTCTTATAGTCTATAGCCGGAGGGGTCTTTAGAAAATACATGTAGTCTGAGCCGATGACTCAACACTGCCAGGATTTCCCGCAGTCTTCAGAATAAAACCCACATTTTCTGACATGGTCTTTATATGCTCTGTGAGTAGGCCTCTGGTCTCTTTTGGTCTACATTTTTCTGAGAAAGAATATTTCGTTCTTAAAGTAATGGAGCTCAAAACAGTTACTTTTTTTTATGATTTAAAGGGACAGAAAATGTTTACCAGAGTATTAAGAACTCATCAAATAGAATGGAATGATTATATCAGCTAATATGAGGTAATTCATGTAGAAAAGTGGATATAAAAAGCAGGCTTGTGAAAAGCACTAACATAAAAAGTATGGCATTTAGTTATTATTTTTAAAATAATTTTATTTATTGAGGTAACATTGGTTTATAACATTATATCAGTTTCATGTGTGTAATATTATACCTTGACTTCTGTATATACTATAGCATGCTCACCACCAAAAGTTTAGATTCCATCCATCCATCCATCCCCCTTTTGCCCAGTTCACCCTCCCCCACCTTCCCCTCCCCCTTTTGCCCATTTCACCCTCCCCCACCTTCCCCTCTGGTAACCACTACTCTGTTCTCTGTATCTATGTGTTTATTTTTGTTTGGTTTAGTTTGTTCTCTTTTATTATTATTATTCCACATGTGAGTTAAATCATATGGTATTTGTCTTTCTCTGTCTGACTTATTTCACTTAGCATAATACCTTCAAGGTCCATACATGTTGTCACAGATGGCAAGATATCATTTTTATATATGTATAATCTACTTAATCCATTCATCCTTTGATGGGCACTTAGGTTGTTTCCATATCTTGGCTCTTATAAATAATGCCATGGGGTGCATATAGCTTTTCAAATTACTATTTTTGTATTCTTCAGGTAAATACCCAGAAGTGGGACTGGATCATGTGGTAGTTCCTAATTTTTTTAGGAATTTCCATACTGTTCTCCATAGTGGCTGCACCAGTTTACATTCCGACCAACAGTATACGAGGGTTTGCTTTTTTCCACATCCTTGCCAACACTTGTTATTTCTTGCCTTTATGATAACGGCCATTCTGATGGGTGTGAGGTAATATCTCATTGTGGTTTTGATTTGCATTTCCCTAATAATTGGTGGTGTTGAACGTCTTTTCACGTGCCTATTGGCTATCTGTACGTCTTCTTTGGGAAGAAATGTTTATTTAGCTCCTCTGCCCATTTTTTAATTGGGTTGTTTGGTTTTCTGTTGTTGAAAGTATGACATGTATAGTTACCAAATATTCTATAGGTATTAGGGATTACAGTTTTTCCCCCAATTTTGTTGATATAATTGACATATAACATTGTATAAGTTTAAGGTGTACAATATAATGATTTGATATATATATGTATTACAAAATGATCACAATAAGATTAGTTAACATCTATCATCTCATATAGTTACAATTTTTTTTTCCTCATGACAAGAACTTTTAAAATCTACTCTCTTAGCTGCTTTCAATATATACAATACAGTACTGTTAAGTATATCATCATGTTGTACATTACATCCCCAGAACTTATTTCTCTTACAAGGGAAGTTCATACCTCTGACCACATTCACCTAATTCCCCCATCCCTGACAACCACAAATCTGGTCTCTATTTCAATAAGTTTGGTTTTTTTAAACTCTAAGTGTATATGAGTTCATACAGTATTTGTCTTTCTCTTTGTCTGACTTATTTCACTCAGCCTGATGACCTCAAGTTCCATCCGTGTTGTCACAAATGGCAGGATTTCCTTATTTTGTTAAAAAATTTGTTTTTTGCTGAGTAGTATTCTATTGTATGCATATTCTTTATCTGTTCGTCTATCAGTGGACACTTAAGTTGTTTCCATATCTTGGCTATTGTAAATAATGCTGCTATAAACATGGAGTGCAGATATCTCTTTGGAACAGTGTTTTCATTTCCTTCAGATATATACCCAGAAGTGGGATAGCTGGATCATATGGTAGCTCTATTCTTAATTTTTTGAGGAACCTCCATACTGTTCTCCATAGTAGCTGCACGAATTTACATTCCCACCAACAGTGCACAAGAGTTCCCTTTTTTCCACATCTTCTCCAGCATTTGTTATCTCTTGTCTTTTTGATGATAGCTAGTCTAACAGGTGTAAGGTGAGGGGATTACATTTTTAACCAAAAATATATATAAAGCATAAGTTCTAGGATCATATCGCCAATGGTTTATCGTTATAATTTTTTAATATTCATCCTTTCTTTTCTTTTAGGAAACAATTAGTGACATCCCTGAATTTGAAGTATTGAATAAAATTGTGCCCTTACCAAACTCCAGGTGAGTAAAATCAAGACAATCATCCACATGCCAGAGAGTTATGGCTGCCTAGCTAGTTCTAGTTGCTGGCTTGAGAAAGCATAGCAGCGACTTTCCTGGTGATCCAGTGGTTAGGACTCCACGCTTTCACTGCCAAGGGGGAACTAAGATCCTGCAAAAGTTGAAATTCTATTGATGCCTTAACTCTGTAACCCCAAAGTGCTGCTGAGAGATCCTGTCTATACAAAGTCCTCACACATGGCCATTCTTAGTTTTTCAGGAACGGGTTTGATAGAGTCAGCTGGAAGTCTTCAAGAAACTGAAGAACATAGGTCAGAAGAAGCAATGGTAAACGCCAAGTCCCTCGAGTCTCTTTCGTGTTCACAGAATTCTGAAGCTGGATACATAAACGTGGCTTCTCTGAAAGAAATACATCACATCCAAGAATAAGGCCAAGTCAGAACTATAAAATCACTGGTGCCTAAAAGTAGACTGATCAAAGCTGCTAACTTAAAGCTTGGGCGTGAAGGTGGAGCATGACGTGGAGAAGAGTTATGACAGATCCTCACTGGACGTCAACCAGGAGTCTTCAAAATTGCTGATAAATTCATTAAACCTGTTCTAATAATGGATTTCTCAAGTTTGTTTGGTATCCTCAAATGCCTTGTATTGATCAATGTCATGACTTAAGTTCAGTGGTTTAATTAGGGTTTTTTTTTTTAAGATTCTTTTTTTGATGTGGACCATTTTTTTTAAAGCCTTTATTGAATTTGTTAAAATATTGCTTCTGTTTTTTATGTTTTAGTTTTTTGGCCCCAAGGCATGTGGGCTCTTACCTCCCCAACCAGGCATCGAACCCACACCCCCTGCACTGGAAGGCAAAGTCTTAACCACTGGACCACCAGGGAAGTCCCTAATTAGGTTTTTGTTCAGTAGAGCACACATACAGCTAATTCAGCATTCTTTCTATTCTTATCATCATTGGTATTTTCTTATTTATTTTTTAATTTAAAAGTAAAAACAATGTAATCACGTTAAAGCAAATATTTGAGAAAACAAAAACCTATAAAGCCCACATTCTTAACACAACTATTTTCATTTATTCTTTTCTGGTCCTTATTCAAATGTATATATTTTCAATGGTTATCATATTGTACATTCATTTTCATAGTCTCTGATTTTAAATTTAATATTTCATAAAACATTTTCCCATGTTTCAACAGTCTTCATAATTATTCTTTCAAAAGCCACATGGTAGGGCTTCCCTGGTGGCGCAGTGGTTAAGAATCCACCTGCCAATGCAGGGGACACGGGTTCGAGCCCTGGTCTGGGAAGATCCCACATGCCACGGAGCAACTAAGCCTGTGTGCCGCAACTACTGAGCCTGCACTCTAGAGCCCATGAGCCACAACTACTGAGCCTGTGTGCTGCAACTACTGAAGCCCACGTGCCTAGAGCCTCTGCTCCACAACAAGAGAGGATGCTGCAATGAGAAGCCCGTGCACCACAACGAAGAGTAGCCCCTGTTTGCCGCAGCTAGTGAAAGCCCATGCGCAGTAACAAAGACTCAGTGCAGCCAAAAATAAATAAATAAAAATAAATAAATAAAAATTTTAAAAGCCACATGGTATTCTATCATGTTGATGTCCTATAAATTCTCTTGTTGTTTGACCTTTGTTTCTACTTTTTTACTATTTAAGATTATGCTGTGATGAAACTGTTTGTAGATGTAGCTCTTTTCTTCTCTTGAGTACTCCATAAAACACATTTACAAGATCAGCATAGGGGCTTCCCTGGTAGCGCAGTGGTTGAGAGTCCGCCTGCCGATGCAGGGGACACGGGTTCGTGCCCCGGTCCGGGAAGATCCCACATGCCGCCGAGTGGCTGGGCCCGTGAGCCATGGCCGCTGGGCCTGCGCGTCCGGAGCCTGTGCTCCGCAACGGGAGAGGCCACAACAGTGAGAGGCCCGTGTACCGCAAAAAAAAAAAAAAAAGATCAGCATAATTGGGCTAAAGATATAACTGTTAATAGTTTTGATATGTCAGTTGTCGAATTACTTTAAAAAAAGATTGTGTCAACATATGGTTTCTATAGTTGAACTCTTTAAGCCTCAATTTCTTAATCCATAAAATGGGAGCAATGGTAGTTCCTATCGCATAGAGCTGTGAGGACCAAATGCAATGAAACATGTGTTTAGCACTTAGTAAAAGCTTAACAAATACTAGACATCATTATTTACTTTCACTAGCAGTTTGAGTGTACTAGTTTTTCCACAACCTCATCAACATTGGATATTATCAATTTTCTTTGATATTATCAATTTTTTAAAAATTATTCTAAATAGTTGGTATAAAACTATACTGAAGGATGATTTCTGCTGCTCCTTCCCTTCCTGCCCCTTTCCCTCCTTATTCTCCTTCTCTTTCTTCTTCACCTTCAATTGGAGGTAGAGAGGGAGACCAAGGGGAGAGAGAAAGTAACCAGAAATTTTTTAATAGACCCCTTAAGTTGAGACACACTGAATTTTTGTGTGTAATCCTTGCTTCCTCAGACCACTGAACTAGAAAGGATGGCCAAAGGATATAGAAAATAACAGCTGTGATATTGAATCTAAGCCTTACCCAATTCATTCAATTCACTGGATTCATTGAATCTATTTATTGAATCCCTACTGTGTGCTATTCAATAGTGGGCACACCTGTGAAGACAGGCAAGGAGAGTCTCAGTTTTTGTCATTGAACCCAAGTCCATGTGCCTGAAGCACAGTGAGGACAAACAAACATTGGAATCTGGAGCAGAGGAAGGCTTATTGCACGGGCCAAGCAAGGAGAATGGGCGGCTCCTGCTCAAAAGACTTGAACTCCCCAATGGTTTTCAGGGAAGAGTTTTTAAAGGCATCTTTTGGGGTGATGGCTTCAGGGTGTATGACTTTCTTCCGATTGGTTGGTGGTGAGGTAACAGGGTGGTGTTCCAGGAATCTCAATCCTCAACATTCTAGTTCCCACTAGTCTGGAGTCTCAGAAGGTAGTTACCATCCTCCACCTAGGTGGGGGTCTTAGTTCCTACAGAACTCAAAATTTCTGTCAGATTGTTATGTATATCCCATGAGAAGGAACTAGGACTCTGTTTTATCACTGAACTGTAATTTTTTAAAAATTTTATTGGAGTGTAGTTGATTAACAAAGTTGTGTTAGTTTCAGGTGTGCAGCAAAGTGATCGAACTATAACTTTTTGACTGCTTTTCCTTTGTTTCTGCATTCCCTCACTTCCTTAATTAGTATCTGCTTGAATCTGCTCTTTATAACTCAGGGAAGGTCTGGGAGGCTGAAGCCTTTTTCTACAAACAAGAAACAGGGTACACGGAAAGGGTTTTGTACACGGGAGTGTCCTGCAGGGTCCTACTCAGTTTTGGTCCCGCCTTTTCTTTGGTACTCCTCAGTCTTCATGGACAAGAAAGGGAATAAAGGTTTGGATATGTTATTCATAAGCTTGGCAGAGGAACCAGGTTTAGGGGGACTTGGTTTCATTTTCATGGAGTTAAATGTGTGTGAGGCTGCAGGTGAGGTGGGAAAACCATAAAATTTTGGATGGTGAATGGATGAAGAAAATAAACCAGTAATGTATCTGAAAGTGTGACAGAGGGCTACTTTAGATTGGGTGCAATGTTCCTGAGTGACATCTGAGCTGAGACCTGAGCTACAAGACCACTCCCCATCCCCATTAAGATCTAGAAGAATATTAAAGACAGTTAACAGCTAGTACCAAGGCCCTAAAGAGAGTATGGGAACTCCATGACCTCGAGAAACAGAAGGCCAGAGTCCCAAGAAGGTGGCGGCCAGATAATGTAAGGTACGCCTTTTATGTAAGAAACTAGATTTTATGCTAAATACGGGGAACCAGCAGTGATTTATAAGCAGATTTATTTTAAAAGCTCTAGCTGCTCTGCGGTATATGATTTGGAGGTGACGAAAGCGGAAGCCTGTGTGAGAACTGGAATTAAAATCCTAGCGTCCTGACTTCAAGGAAGTGCTGAGTATTTACCGAACAAGCTTGATATGCCAGGCTGTTCTAAACGCTGAGGATGAACACAGTTCTTGCTTCCGTGGGGCTCCACACTAGTGGACAGCGGTAGAAAACCGCACGTATGACGGTTCACATAGGTCTTAATTTCAAAGGCTGATATGGACCCTGAAGACTGCCTAGTCCAAGCCCCCTAGCCTGAGCGAGAATAATTTGTACTGCACTTTGTGTAGCCAAGTGAGTAGGATGTCCGTTGACCTTGAGCAATAAATGCCCAGTTTTTCCGCCCGGCTCAGCACCCAGGGAGAGCCAGGTGAACTAACAGCTGGCTGACATCCGGGTGGTCTGTACGGAAGGAGGCGCTGGCCACCCACGCAGCGCCCAGTTTGGCGCCGGAGGCGGAGAACTTCCGGGGGCGGGGCCTGGCCTCGGTCGGCTTTTCCTGCGCCTCCGCCGGAGACGAAACCCTCAGAGCAGGGACTAGGTTCGCCGTAACCCCGCGCTCCCGACTTCTGCTTCCGGGTCGGAGCCATGGCGGTGGCAAATTCAAGCCCTGTCAATCCCGTGGTGTTTTTTGATGTCAGCATTGGCGGCCAGGTGAGGTCCTGGCAGCCACCCAGCCCACCGCCGAAGGGAAAGTGCACGGGGTCTGACAGGCAGATTTCATCCCTTCCCCAGGGGTAACGGACTCGGAAAGCCAGAAAGTGAAATTGGACCAGAACCTACCGACCTGCGGGGCGGGGTTGGGGAGGAAGGGAGGAAGGGAGAGAGAGGAGGAGCCTTGCCCGTCGTGGCGCCCCGCTTGCGGAGAGACTGGGTGGAAAGCTAGCGTAGGCTATGGAGGCGGAAGTGGGAGAGACCAAGCGGCATGTGGGAGGGAGGGTTCCCTGCTCGGGAGGCCTTCACGGGCTTGGACTGGGCTTTCTGACCGTCTCTTGCCGGTTGCAGGAAGTTGGCCGCATGAAGATCGAGCTCTTTGCAGACGTTGTGCCTAAGACGGCCGAGAATTTTAGGTAAGGAGATGTTCCAGCTTTGCTGGATTAACTAAACCAGAAGCTGGGCCACAGTCTGTGGAATCGTCTGCCTGCCTCTGTCCGTCCACTCACTGCCCTTGAGATCTGATTCCTTTGGGTATCGCTCTGAACAGTCTTGACTGTTCCCGTGTCAATTTATGTTGTTAATCTGTATGCCTGAGTGTCTGGACATCTGACTAGCCTGTAGGTGGGCTTGCTAGCGCCGATGCCTGTGCCCTCCCCTCCGAGGTTAGGAGCGCTCACAGCTGTGATGCCATGGTGACTGAATCATTCACTCCTTTCCCTTTCAGGCAGTTCTGCACTGGAGAATTCAGGTCAGTCTCAGACGTGGTTGAGTTCTCTGCTTTCTCCTGAGGGGTGTCCTGGGGCTGCAGTGAAGGTATTGGGGGACCACCGGCAGGCCTTGAATGATTGCTGGTGGCAGTAATAGAAGGTAATCCCCCACAGGTCTATCCTCTGTTCATTTGTCTTCTTTACCTCTCTTCTCTGACCATCTTTAGGAGAGTCTTTTTGGTTCAGGTGTGTGGTAAACTGGAAAGGCCTATGATTACCTGTCATCATTCCAAGTCTCTTTCTTTTTGGTTATAGAAAAGATGGGGTTCCAATAGGATACAAAGGGAGCACCTTCCACAGGTAAGGCCTTTGGCAAGCCATACTGGGGGGCTTTTAGGAAAACGAAACGGAGGATAATTCTTAGAT